TTTACCAACTAATCAGGTGGTAAAAAGAAACAGTGGGAGATTTGTACTTTCAGGCTTGAAAGCTAATGTAGCCTTATAATAAAGTAGAATTAGTTTATCTTGTCATGTTTCCTGTCTGGTCTACTTGGGAGCCTGACGTTTGTAAAGTTCAGTTTTGGGAAATGATTTACATGAGAATGAAACACATTTGAAAAATCAGATTTCCATTTTGACCTGTCATATTGTTACTAAATTTTACTAAAACGTTATATTCTTTCAAAGGATACTGAACTAGCTTTGTATAGGTTAATTGCCAAGTAATATTAAATGCTTCTTGCTGGAAAGGTTGTTGGATTCCCTCCTTGGAAAAATGGTTAACCAATTTACAGGAACACGTTTTGATGTCCAAAATATCTTAAAAGTAAATATGTGGTAAAATTTTAATTCTAATTGGAAACCATCCCTGGACGATAACTTACTAGATGGATCTGTACCTCAACCAAAATTTGAGCTTTTCTATGCATAAAAATCTAACTTCATGAGATATTCCAGTCTGAATAGATTAATTATTGCTTATAATTTCAGTCAGTGATTTACACTCTGTTCACCATGGTTCCTTGTGTGCATTCTGTCCTTAAAGCTTAACCGTGTTTCCTAGATTTTTAAAGCAACACAACATTTTATAGTTCATAAATAATTAAAGCAATATCGGAGAACTCCATTATTTCCCAATTCTCTTCCCTTGTCCACTTAGTTGTAGTTTATTAATTGTATCCTCTTTTAATATTATTATTGTTTTATTATTATTTATTACATTTTTATGCCTGCCCACTCCAAAAGATTCTGGGCGTCTACAAGTTCCAAATATATAATGAATATATTTTTTAAAAAAACAGTTCTTCTTTTCATATATTATTTCTTTTTTATTCCTTCATTAAAACACTTCATTGAAAAAGCAGATATAGCTGGGAAAAAACAGCCTGAAGCTGCTGTTTGTTCCTCCAGGTTCCTTGATGCTTGCGATTTTGTCTCTGTGTGAGGAGACACTGGCCTTGAAGGCATATGCTCATAACCAGGCAGACTTCTTGAACTTCTGGCTATTGCTAAATATGCAAGAGAAGCAATGGCCAGGGAATTTTATCAAGCTGTGCCCGACACAGAAATTCTAGCCCCATTTAGAATTAGAGACCCATGCAGCAGTAATACAGTATATGCCCCAATCATCTAGACTTGAGATGGGGAAGTAAGGCCTTTTTATGACTTGTGGACTTCAACTGGCTCAGGAATTCTGGGAGTTGAAGTCCACAAGTCATAAAAGGACCACAGTTCCCCACCCCTGCTAGACCATCTCAGTTTTTGAAGACCTTTAAGAAGCTTCCATTGATCAGAATGCATCAGCCCAGTTGTTGGTAGATACATGCCATCATGAGCACATTATACCCCTCCTGCAGGCCCTGAGCTCTCTCCTTATTGGTTTCTATGTGCAATTCAATGTGCCAGTTTTAACCTTTAAAGCCTATGAAGGTGGTCCCGTAGTAACTGCAGGGACACCATCTCCACCCAATTTCAGCCCACCACAACCAGACATTCTGGGAGAAATTGTTTAGGACCCTCCAACTTTCATGAAGGAAATGAGATGGAGGTTTGTAGGCAGACCTTTTCTCCTCCCCACTCCCCCCCCAAAGAAATTTGCCCTGCTTGTAATCTATTAGTTTTCTGCAAGTTATTAAAAACTGAGTTAGTAGTTTGAGGAAGAATACCCAAGCCAACACCAATGACTCAAATGACTATCCACCAAATAACTAAACTTTAGTGCCCCCAATTCTAAGTTAATTGGCTACCCTGGTTGGGAATTATGGGAAATCACATTTGAGGGAACTAGGTAGCCTAACATAATATTCCACATATAAAAGCTTGGATTGATTTAGCCCAGTCCTTCTAGTCATCAGTTGATATGTTAGATATTAATGTGGTCATTTTCAGAATTATACTTTGAAATCAAAAGCTAACCTGTTTCTACCAGATGTTTTGCATTATCATTTCTAAATTCCACTCTCACTGCCCATGCTTGCCAGAGCTAATATAAACTGAAGTCCAAAATGCAGTCCAAGGGAATTGAAATCCAACCCTTGCTCTTTGAAAATGACCATTAATGGATGCAAATATCTTCCTATATTACCTGCAAATACAGTAGCCTTCAACTTAACAACAGTTCATTTACTGACTGTTCAAAGTTACAATGGCATTGAAAAAAGTGACTGAGGACCATTTTTTACACTTACGACCATGGCAGTATCCTCATGGTCACATGATCAAAATTCAGCTGCTCGGCAACCAGTTAGATTTATGAGGGTTGCAGTGTCCTGCGGTCATGTGATCCGCTTTTGCCACCTTCTAACAAGCCAAGTCGATGGGGAATCCAGATTCACTTAACAACCAGGTTACTAACTTAACAAAAGCAATGATTCACTTAACAACTGTGGCAAGAAAAGCCGTCAAATGGGGCAAAATTCACTTAATGTTTCACTTTACAACAGAAATTTTTAGGCTCAACTGTGGTCGTAACCCAAGGACTACCTATATTCATTTTTACTAGCACTGATGATATTACCAAGTTAGGGTAATGAAATGTTTGCAAAAAAAAAAAAAAAAAAACCCCAAAAAACCAAGCAAGCTCAGAGAGCACGAAGGACCCCTCATATTCATTTTTTTTTCATAGCAAATCTTGTACTGTGTTTCAGTTTTAAACCAATCACAAACATGCATACAGGAAGTTGCTGTCCACCATGAATATCTTCATCTAATATAATCTACTCCAGGGGTAGGCAACCTTGGCTCTTTTATGACTCGTGGATTTCAACTCCCAGAATTCCTGAGCCAGCATGGCTCAGCTTGGAAACCTCTCCTTTTCCCCTCAGCATGGCTGGCTCAGGAATTCTGGGAGTTGGAATCCACAAGTCATAAAAGAGCCAAGGTTGCCTACCCCTGATCTAATTCATACATCTTGCTAAGGAATAGTTTATTTAATTGAATAAATCATAGTTGGTTGGATCCACACAAGACTCCAAGAATAAACAAACCTTAAAACCAAGATGTCTGTGAATTCTGGGAGTTGAAGTCCACGAGTCATAAAAGAGCCAAGGTTGCCAACCCCTGATCTACTCCAATAAGGAGAAACTCTCTGGGAACTGAGGTCTTCTTTATCTCCAGGTATTCAATTTCTCTACCTGGAAATGCTGGAGACAGAATCTGGGACCTTCAGTATAGAAAGCATAGCTGTCTCCTGTTTAGCCATGCGTCCTTCCAAATGAATGAAAGAGCAGCAGGAAAAGATGGCAATTGAAGGATGTGACACAAGTCGTAAAGAGCCTTGCAGAGGAATGGCCTCTTGCATAATGGAGACTTCTCCAAAAATAATGGGACAATGTACATTGAGCTCCACAACTATGAGAACTACGTTTCCCGCCTAACCTAACAAGAAAGCAGAGCACACCACCGAGAGGCTGTCAAATTTCAAATCAAGTTCCATATAGATTTTAATGCCCATATAATCATACAGAAGACTCATATGTTTGTGCTGGAAATCTCTATTACCAAACCACAGTGCATCACCATCGATACTTATATAACACGACATATAAATGTTCCTTTATTTGCTTGTTAATTAACTTGAATGCCAGTAATTTCTCCCCAGTGTAAAACAGGAAAATCTAGGACTTGGATTACACTGACAGTCAAACACACTTTCTGGCATCTCCACGTAATCGTCATTTCTATAGATTTATGTTATATACATACATAACTCACACCCCATCTCATTTTCTCACACAATTCTCATGAAGCAGCTTGTAGTAATCATCATCTTAATAATTTGGCTCAACTCAGCAAGCGAGGGAACATTTGTTGCAGACATAAGACTCCATATTGTGCTTGCCACTTCTGCCCTGGCAAAATTTGAATCTGTTTGGCGTGGGGGGGGGGAATCAGAAATAGCTTGCTAATGAAAGCTATCCTTGGTAGAATGCTAAGATACAGAGCTGGATCCTAGATGGCTCCAGATTATCTGATAAAGGGAAGATTTTTGAAAAAGAGAAGGTCATAAGAGAAGGAAATAAGACGCTGGTTTGCCTAAACAGAGCCCATAAATTTGCTCCCAAAATTACCCAGGGCTTCACTCCATCCTTTGTACCCCACACAGCCATTCCAAGCTGGGGGATGAGGAGGAGCCTGAGGTGACCCCTACTACATGTGCTTGTCTAATACAGATTGACTCTGTACATAAAATCTTAAGAATCCTTGACATCATCTAGATGTTCCCATCAAAGGGGCTAATAATATTTTCCCCCAGTTTCTCACTTGGGGGGGGGGAGGAGATGACATGGAGGTCGTCTGAAAGCCTCAGACTCAAACGAATTCAGCTGCAATAGCATTCAGCTGGGAGCAAGAGATCCCTTCTAACCTCAACACTTTCCCAATGTGAGTATTGCACATATATTGGTGGCCATGATCTACTATCACCTTGGCAACAAGGCTAGGCTGCCCAGAATTTCTTTCTCCAAGAAACAGTAGGATCTTCTATGGGAAATCTAATGGAGGATCAGGTAAGGCAAGAGGCTCTCCAGAGACTCTACAAAGGAATCTATTATTAATAATAGAGGGGAGGAAACCCTATGTTTCTACTACTGCAACTCTTTGCAAAAACAGCACACCAACCTGTTGCCTATGTTGAATTATGACACCCAGAATCCCCCAGTAGCTGGAATTCTGGGAATGGTAATCCTAACATCTTAGAAGGTATCACAGACGGAGGAAACCTGCCTACTCTTTCCTCTCCAATATTCCAAACCAAGATTTGGGTGTGTGGGTGGGGGGTCTAACATCCCCCAAACACAACATTAAACATTCTGATCCTCAAGCCCTCTCCATTATTTAGCCTATATCATCTACACAACTCAAGCTCAGTAGATATGAGGTCACACCCATCCCACACTTTCATCCAGAAAGCAGGGTCCAATACTTACTGGGTAATTCTCCCTTGGCCAGCTCAGCACTAAGCAGCTCTTTATGACTTAGACTCCAGCCGGGCCCAGGGTGAGTGGGAGTGGAAGCTGGACTCTTGGTGAAGATGCCACTGATGAACTTGAGCATTTTTCGGTCACGGGTGGAGGCCCTTCCACCCTCCCGGCCTCTCTTCAGCCCTACGGCGGCTTCTGAGGAGCAAGAACCAGATGAGGCTAAGCTGACTGGGCCATGGTTGAGGTCACTGTTGTCCAGAGTCTTGCTTTTGTTTTTGTGAGGGGACAGTTTTGCCCTGGACCCTCCTCGGGGAACAGTCTCCCCACTCCCTTTGACTGCCATCTTCATGCGGCCCTTGACTTCACTCTCCGGCCATGACAGGCGATTTGGGGTACCCCCTTTGTGGCTCCCTTTGCCGGCCTTTGGCTCTGTACCCACCTTAGCCCCCGTGGTGGTCACTGTTTTGAAAGGCTTATTTGTGGCCAAACGGAGGCGGCGATTTCCAGCAGCAGGGTGAGGAGAGGAGGCTCCCGAGTGAGAGAAGGAAGAAACACCCACACGGCTCACGGTCATTTCCATGGTCCCAGGCTCAGGACCACCCCAGCTAGCATGACTGACCAACATCCGGCGTCCAGGGGCAGCAGCACTGGAGGAGCAACTGGCAGTGGTCGGAGCAGGGATTGGCAATTCATCTCCAGGGACCTCCAAGGTTTCCGTCAACCCAGCCTTGGAGGGGATCAGAGCCACTTCTGGTTTTGGCAGCACACTAGGCATGACTGGAACCAAAACGGCTTTGGGCTTTGGAGCTACAGCTGGAGCTGATGGAATAAAAGTGCCTTCAGGCTTAGAAAGGAGAGTGGAGGAGACCGAAGGGCCGACCATCACCAGTTTGGGAGGAGCAGATGAAAAGATAATGCCCACAGGTGGTTCAGGTTTTGGGGGGATGATGGGGGCTATAGAGGGAATTGCTGGCTCAGGTTTGGGTGGCAGAACCGGGGCTATGCATGGCATAGTTGCCTCACGTTGGAACGGCACCATCGACTCAGGTTTAGGAGCCAGAGGGGGAGCAACATAGGGGGCCACTGGCTGAGATTTGGAGGTCAGCGTCATCTCGGGTTTGGGAGGCACTGCTGGTGCAACCAGCAGCACCAGTGGGTCTGGCTTGGGGGGCACAACTGGAGCCACTGAAGTTCCCAGTGCCTCAGACCTCGGCGTCATGGCTGGTGCATCCAAGCTGATGGTGGCTTTGGCCTTGGGGGCAGTTGTTGCTAATCCCAGATTTGGATCCCAAGGACTGTCTTGGCTGCTGCTGCTGCTGCTGGGTGGGGTCCAGAGAGATCCAGCTCGCCCAGGGCCATCTGGGGATGGGGATGGGCCAGGCGTCTCAGGGCATCCTGGCGACAACTGCAATAGGTAGTCAGGAGTGCTGGCGCTGCTGGTGCTGATCCAGAGCGCATCCTGCCGGTGGAAGGTGCGCTCTTGCCTCTTGATCTTGGCCACCTCCTCAGCTTCCTTGTGGCTCCTTAACCCGGAGGATTCGGCAACTGATGGAAAAGCCATAGGGCTGGAGGGGAGGCTGCTTGCTCTGCCCTCCGGCTGAGGAGCCCCATCATCATCAGCCCTTGCCTGCTCATCTTCTGGCGGTGGCTGCTGCTGCTGAGGTTGCTGCTGCTGCTGTTCCCCTTGCTGGAGCTGCTGAACGGATTCGAGCTTCACGAGGGTCAGGGAGATCAGGTAGGTCGTCCTCCGCTGCAGGGTTGCTCCTCTGCTCATGAGTGCCTGGGGGAACGGACGGCGGTGCCCACCACACCGTTAGCCAGCATCTGCCAGACCTTTCTCCTCTTGCTGCTGCTGCTGCTGCTGTTGCTGCTGCTGCTGGTTGGGTGGTTGCCACCCCCTCTGGATGGCAGCGGATGCCAGCCGCCAGCTGGAACCCTAATGCCTCCCCTGCTCTGTCCATGCACAAAGGGCAGCTCCGGAGGAATGCTGCAGCAGCCGGGGCATCTCTTCCAGACCTTATCCCTTCCTCTGCCGATCAGCTGCTTGAAGGCCTGAAGGTGAGCATCTTCCAAGCAGCCCCCTTGCCAGCGGAAGAGTCCAAGGGCCAGAAGCTGGGCAAAGGGGGTGGGGTGCTTAGCCTCTTTCCAGGAAGAAATCTCAGCCACCGGCGTGGGATGCAGCGGCTTCCGAAGAGGCAAAACAGCAGAAGGCAAAAAGGATGCCTGTTCCCGTGCAGAGAAGCTGGCGCAGGGAAGAAGAAGGGGGCAAAGGAGAATGTGAGGGAGATTAAAAATAATAATAATAATAATCACAGCTTCGTTGCAAGCAGGTCCCCTTTTGTGGTGCTGCGGCAACCTCGATAGCCCCTCAGTGCAGACCTCATAGTGCTGGCGAGTTGCCAGGATCTTTCACACTTCCCCTCCGGTCTTGTCATTTGCAGAGCTGCTACGGTGCATCCTTTGCCCGACGCCCAGCCCTCTTCTTCGTTCGGCCTCTCGGCTTGCTGTAATCCGTCCAAAGCTGAGCGTGAGGCCAGTCGGACACCTTCTTTTCGGCTCCCTCCCTCCAAAATCGCCCACCTCTGCTGCAGCAATTCCCTCCTCCCGTTTCGTTTGGGAAGGGGTGGGGGTGTCTCTGGCCCCCTCCCCTCTGGTGGTTTCTACTTTTTCTAGCGCATCTTGGCTTTTGCACGCGCTCCGTGCAGCTGCTTCTAGCGGCGCGGCTAGCGGCGAGCAGAAATGCGGAGATCGCGGCGGTGGGTGGGGGAAAAACGCGTGGAAATCATAAAAAAGCAGAGCTATGTCAGCACCAGCAGCCAACCCCTTCGCTGAGGCTGAATCCCGGAAAAAAAAAAAAAAAAAACCAACGACGAAGCTGTCCCTGTATCACGATCGCTTGCTGTTACCCGACAGTCCGGAGTTTAGAGAAAAAGAACGGGAGGAGAAGGAAAAAGGATTTAAAATAATTTTTTAAAAAAAAATTAAAAAGGGGGGGGGGAGGCGGGAGAGACGAGATCTTGAGAGTTATCACATTGAACATACACACGCCAAGAAGTGAGGGCTTTTTTTTTTTTTTTTTGCCGAGACACAAGGAAATCCCGGACTGGATCTCCCGCGCACAAGACCTTCCAAGCTCTTTTCGCTTTTCTCAGCCGCTCTTCAGACATTACACGGGGCGGGGTTCTTATTCAAGAGGGGGCATGCCTGAACCTAACACGCCCTTCCGGTGCTGGCCAAAAGGAACAGGGGGAGGGGGGGTGGCGCGGTGAGCGCAAATGTGACATCTTTTTGAGGCCCGAGGTAAATTAGCCCCGCTAATTGACTTCAGTTTGCCCCCATTGCCAAGGTCGTCAGTCAATCTCCTGCAAAGGGCTGGGAAGGCCCACATCTGGAGGTTTAGCCTCGGCTGCCTAACGCACTCATGCCCCTTGCCTGCCGTGGGATCAGTGGGGTAATAAGAGAAGGACGGGCTGCCTGTGTAGTTACAGGTGGCTAGGGAGCCCGCCCTGCTTAGCTGCCTCACTGTCTGCCCTTTCTATTGGTTTCTCACAGAAGGGACAAGTGGATGGCTCCATCAGGCAGGAGGGAGTCGGTCATCTCCATAAGGTGTCTGGAGTTAGTCGTCTAAATTGAATGCCTTTTTAATGCAGTACTGATTTAGCCACAATAAGTGTTTGGTACTACAGAGAACATCAGCTTCCTGGATATCGCCCTGGGGGGGGGGGGGAATAGTGTGTTCCCATCCATTGGGTTAGCAGGGGGTGTAGTAGTAGCAGCACCAAATCAAGTCTGCAAAAATCTCAGTGACCACTACATGATCATTGGCCCCGTTGGTCATTTGGCCAGATCTAGTAGTCTGTCAGGTGAAGAGAATTGGGACCCCATGTTAACTTCCAATTAAGCTGATTTATTGCTCATGCCTATATATACAAGAATTGAGTCAACAGTCAGCACTAAATTGGTACTAGATCATGGAATTCAGGAAGGGCAAGACTTGTATTACTTGTGGGATTGTAATGACTCCAGGCTGATTTCTCTCTTGACTCAGCCCACAGACTCTGCCTCTTTTTCTCCTACATAATCCTAAGTCTAACCATTGGAAGATGGTGGTCATTTTTTTTTGAATGCTCCAGGCATTCAACTGACCATGATCTAGAATGTGTTGCCACATTACCTCATTCAGGACATAAAGGCAAGTTGGAATGTGATTTCATAAACTGCCGCACAATTTTCCTCAACTATCTAGCAGTGTTTGTCAACCTTGACAATTTTAAGGCATGTGGACTTCAACTCCCAGAATTCCACAGCCAGCATTGCTGGCTGTGGAATTCTGGGAGTTGAAGTCCACATGCCTTAAAATTGTCAAGATTGAGAAACACTGCGAGTCTAATCTCTTGTTGGGTGGATTTTCCCAATACACTGATCCATAGATCATGTTTTATCAACAACACTGGGTAGCTCATGTGACACTAAGTTACAAATGAACAAATCACAGTTAATGTATTGTGGCAATCCAACCAGAAATTATTTGATGTCTCAATTGTATGAACCAAAGAATTGGGTTAATTCAGTTAACTATGGTTTAAAGTGGTATGCAAACAAAACCCCAAATTTTATAAATCATACTAAGATATGCTTTGCTTCATTACGGTTAAATTAAAAATTGATTTTTTAAAAAATATGGCTTTTATTTATTGTTTATTAACCATTCAGAGTATACAGAGTTATGGCCCAAAGTTGTATTGGCAGCTGTATAAATTTTCCAATCAAATAAAAATAAACTTTATTGGACTTACTAGATACATGTTACATCTATAAACGACTGCTGAATATTATAAAGACTGGGTACACAATATACCAAGTGAAATCCACACCAATTACAACTAATCCTAACCTAAGCATAACCTGTGGCTATTTCTACACACCTACAAAACAGTAGCAAGAAGTCCTTGTGGGTTGTATTTTCATAGCACATTGACTGGTTTCATGAAAAAAAGTAACATCACAAAAAAGTGAGCATTATTTTAGCTTAGCATGTTTGCATTTTGTGAACTGAGGTACACAGAAATATAGTCTTGTACTTCAGAGAATGTATTTCAGAATCATACATCTGGGTATTCCCAGATGTTTGTAACACAATCACTACAATCTAATTATTGGTCAGATAGTTTGATGGGTATTAGTCCAAAAATATGTGAAAAACAGCATTTTACCTATTCCTAGTCTAATCCAGTATTGACCTAGTTCATTAAATGTTTACAATAATCATGGTTTATAATAAGACACAATTGGTTATGTTCAATTAACTGTAAGTTAAAAACCATTTTTGATAAGTCTCAGTGACTGAATCAGCATAATCTGCTACAGCCTATGGAAAAAACTTAACATGGCTTAATGTTGTATGGGACTCAGCCGATCATTAATGCTTCTTTAGTCATAAACAAAACTGAAATGATAATAGAAGTATCTCCTTTCATTATTTTATCATGACCATAAGTATATATTACATATCTTGCCTTCTTCTCAACAGGTAGTTCAAAATTGCAAGAAGGTCAGGATAAGGAAAGTAGAAGTTTTGCAACCATAGATTTTGGCCAATTGAACCAGAGGAAAGTCAGCTTGCCATGATGCCAGCTTTGAGAACAAAGGGCTGTGGTACCATGTCAGGAGTAATCCAAAGCCTTATGTAAAAGGGCCATGTTTTTCAAAATAAGTACTAAGCAAGTAGACAAGCACATCCTTATCTCTCAAGCCCTGCTGATATACATCCATCTCCAGAATTTCTCTATGTGTTCGTCCAACCAATAATATGATGTTGCCAGAAAAAGGGGCCAATTAATGCTAATTGTATCTAAATATCCCAATTGACAGCACTATTGAAAATTATTCATACTGAAAAAGCAAGCATGCTCTACTCTGCACTGGCTGTTTCCTTTCCAAAGTGCTGACAGAGCAATTCTAGCCAATTGTACTTACATCATAATCACTACAATTCTCTACATGGATTGCAAGTTATTTCACTGGGCTGATAGGAAGCTTTCACATGGATATGTCCATATTCACATATTTGCTGCCATTGCAGAAAACACTTCCTTCCAGAAGGCTGCTTCCAGGAACAGATTTACACCTAGTGATATGGGCTTACTTTACTCTAGTCTAAACCATTGTGGTGCTCCATTTGAAAAACTGATTATCTACAGGCACATACTTGGCTGAAATCTGCTAGGGGTTATCTCTACATCAGGGCTTTTCAACCTTTTCACCCACTGTACCACTTTTAGGATATGGCAACATCTGAGTACCACCAGTCGCCTAGCAAGGTGTCAAAAACTTGATGACCAAAAAAAAAAAAAAAGTGATAAAGTACAGGTAGTCCTCGACTTACAACAGTTCGCTTAATGACTATTCAAAGTTACAATGGCACTGAAAAAAGTGCCCCCCAAGGCACAGCTGAGCAAGACACCTGCCTGCCCGCCGGTGGCGCTCTTCCTCCTGTCCGAGGTTTTCATTGTTGTGAGCATTTCTGTTGAGGATTGGCAGCAGGGGTGGGGGGGTGTTTGGTCTTTATTCCCCCCTGTCTGCTGGGTGGTTGCAGCAGGTTTTGGTCACTTCACATGACCCTGGGACACTGTGGCCGTCATAAATATGAATCAGTTGCCAAGCATCTGAATGTAAATCACAAGACCCTGGAGATGCTGCAACATTCCAGCTGATCGGCGCTTCTTCTGGGCTCAGCAGAAGCGCCAGGATCATTGCTGAGCTGTATCTGGAGCCTGGGCTGATCCTGGTGCTTCTGCTGAGCCCTGACAGCCCTGCAGCTCCAGCCATCTCTCACTCAGGCTTGTGTGGTGCTGCCACTGGTTTAGCTCATTCCCCTCCCCCTGCTACCACTTTTCTAGGATGGCCGTGTATCACCTGCCAGGTGCCAATGCACCACAGGTGGTACCCATACCACTGGTTGAAAAGCCCTGCTCTACATGGATAGAAATCCACTGGTCAGTTTGGGAGCAGGTGTGCCCCAATGTGGAATGGATTCTCCAGTTATTACTGTATGCAAAGCCATTTGTATTCATATCTCTAAAGAACTCAATAACTAGTGTGCATTCCATGTGAAAACGTTGCTAGTTTCTGGTTTTGTTTTGTTTTATTTTTGCGCAAGAGCATGGTGAGTGACCTAGGAAGCTAAAACAGCTTGGAAGTAAGAAGTAAGAATTCCTTTAACAGTGATTCAAGGGCTAGATTTATGGTAGTTAAGATCATATAATATGCTATTTTAAAAGCAAACCAATGACATTTGACTTAGCATCAAAAGATTAGATTCACATTAACATTTTAAACCACAGTTTCACTTAATGACACTGACAAAACGTGTCCTTTTCTTGTCTGATTCCTTTTACTGGATGTGTCCGGATCTTTTTGCCAGTCTGAAAAACAGCATGCTTTCATCTTGTATATTGTGAAATATGAAGACTAAAATGTTAATTTTAAAAGAATGCCTTCCTATTTATATGAGAATCATTGTTAAATGGAATGCCACATTAGGGTTTTTTGATATGCTGGATGTTATATTTTGATAAAAAGATTTTTAAAAATCAAACATTATTCCCATTTTGCTCCTCATCTATTCAAAATTTGTCACTCATATATCCTTGCCAAAGTGATGAGACATTCTATAGCTGGATTAAAACAGAAGAAAAAGGCAATAATTTGAATAGAAATGAATCGCTTCCCAACTATAGTGCCTTATGACCATTTTTCATAGGTGCCACATTTCCAGCATCCCCATGGTCACATGATCAAAATT